TTAATAGACCGGTGAAGACCGTACAGAGTAGCATTATAACAGAACTTTCAAATGTATCTAGTATGATAAAACAGCACTGCTTTTTTTCCCCACATACGCACAAACCGGAAGGAGCGGAAGCGGTCGACTGTGGCATTATAAAAGCTCCACTGCTTTCGAGCCGTGTGTCAAGCTCGTTCAGCGGCCTCGTTTCACTTCGACGGCTTTCAGCCTCACCCTGCTTCATTCTACTACGTTAATAAATCATTAGCTCATCCAGCGCCCTCTAGCGGCGAAAATTACATATTCTGCTTTTAAAGACTGTAGCAGCAAGCTCTTTAGTCATCATTTCACTAGTAAATGTATAATGCTAGTAGTAGATTTCTGAGAAAGCAAAGTGTTACATAAGACCTGCGTTCCAGATCGTACTCATCTTTGTGGTCAGTATCCAGTGAGGTGACGTCTTATCTGAGAGTGCACTAGTTTTTAAGTTTACTCTGGTGATAACGTTATCTGTGGAAAGTTTCTCATCCTGATCTATTTTTTATTTTTTTTGCTCAGAAGAGATCATCCTGTAGGAAAGCATTGCTCACATACTGAACAAACTGGTCAGAGAAAGCTCCATGAGCTGATTTTAAGTTATATTTAAAGCTGACACCACACATGTCCATGAGGTTTTTTTTTTTTGTCAACATCAAGATTTTAAATTAAAATAAATCAAAATATAAGGGAATATGTGTATTTTAGGTGCTGTAAAGTCACCATCTCCAAGTTTTTCACCATTTTAATCACACTTCATTTTAATAGTCTATCTGGCATGGTGTTACTTTTTAACATATTCTCAATAAATACAGTACTTTTGTCATAAAAATGCATGCATAATAATTATAAAGGATTTTGCATGCTCTTTGAAAACCTTTAGTAGTTCTTCTAATGTATCAGGCTGTAAAACCTTTTGGAACCCACAAGATCCTGTAAGAACTTTATGGACACTCATAGGTTCCTCTCTCAACCCCATAATAACGTTAAGAGCATTTGAGCAGCCTGACATGTATATTGACGTTCCTTAAAATATTATATTTGAGGAACCTTTACGGCATGCCTAGATGTTCATATACCTGCAAGAAGTGGATAAAAGCGTCAGTGACAAAATATTAAAGTTATCATTTACTTGAGTCTAACTTACCTTAAACTCAGCCGAGAGTTGAGGAGTGTATTGAAAAGTCCAGAGCGCTCGGACCAAAGACGCGAGCCGTTCCGTAACCTCTCCTTTCTCCTGCTGACCGTTCTCATTCTTTATAAATCCGTTCATTGCCCTGTGACACAGGTCCAGTTTATATCGCTCCAAACACAGGTATTCAGCGAGCAGGTCCGTGTTGCTCAAGCACTGCACGACGGCGTTCATGAAGCAGGTGTTCCCGTGGTTCTTCAGACCCAGCACGCCTGGCGTTTTATCCCCGTACAGCGAGAACAGTCGCTCTTTCGCGGAGGAACGGCAGGGAAGCGATGAACTTTTCCTCACCTGGCTGCTGTCCTCTTGTTTCACATGTCCCGGGTTTCCAGCGCAAGGTGCGCTTTTTCCAAACCCACCATCATCATCCTCAGCGTCCGACCGCTCGGTTGTTTCTCCGCCGCTAGCCAAGCTCCCCAAACTTTTCAAGATCTTATTCACCAAACTTTCCACGGGTTTAAACGATTTCCTCCGGAACAGCTTCCCTGTGCGTTTCGTAGAGTCCTTTTTCGCTTTCTTGTCGCGTTTATCCATATTTCTTGCTTATTTCCCTCTGGATTACTAAACCGTTCAAGCCCACAGTGTGTTATTATCCTCACCTGATGCTGCGTCGGTATCAAGCATTGCGGACGGACAGTAGCGGTTTCTCACGCATCTTACGCTCGCCGTGAAGGAATGATTGACAGGTAGCGCGCGGTCAGCAGCACTCACTCATGTGACGTCATAGCGGCAGGCGGTTAGGAACGAACGACTGAATGATTGACATTTCTCCTTAAACGGCGGTCAGCGCGAGCGCTCCTGGAACTTCATGCGAGCGATGGAATGATTGACAGGCAGAGCTGTCAGTACGGCAAGCCAGCGTACAAATGATACAGTGACTTAGAGGGGCTCGACTATTTTAAAGGAATTTCAGCTTTTTAAAGGATTTTTAAAGCACTTTGTGTACTCTGTGTACAGTGTCTCTGTCAGCAGTTAATTTCCGGGACGCAATCAGTCGAGTATTGTCTTGCTTTAAAGCAAATTGTAATATTGCGCCACTAACTCATAAATGTCGAATATCTGAAATCTAATTTTTGACAAACCAAAACGTTTTATTTTATTTCTATGATAAAGTGATGCATATTACTTGTCATGCTATCAAAACTATAGCATTGCTTTATCATTATTGAAAGCCATGTTTAAATATCTATATCTATCTATCTATCTATCTATCTATCTATCTATCTATCCATCACCTCCATGATGTTGGCACTGTGTCCTGTTACCATATGTCTTTAGCTGGCCTTTGAGGAACCCCACACCTTCACTGGTTTATCATCACTTCTTGTGGACAGAGAACAGACACTCAGTCAGAGCAGATTTCACATCAATGCTGTTTCCCCGGTTATCTCTTCACTGCCACAGAGACAGTATTTTGTCACAAAACCAGACCACCTACAGTTTTCCCATTTCTCCAGCATTCAAACTGCCAAACCGCTGATGTGGTTTTAAACTCATTCTGTCCTCTTTACATTTGAACAATCAGAGGAGATGAATGTCTAGGATAATGGCCAAAATTATCTTATTTTTAGATTTCCGGTACTTTGCGCTTTATTCTACTGAGATCTTATATGCAAAATGAGTTCAAAGTACTGAACATGCAGAGCTTAAAGACTTTTTGTGTGGATAAATGTCTCTAGGTTGGCAGCTATCTCTTTCAGTGTGCCATCCCTTCGCAAAAGAGCATATTCAAAGATATTTTTATCTTCGGAGGTACATTTACTTGCTTCCTTCCTTTCTTTTAGTTGCTTCTATGTGATCAAAGACACAGAACAATGCAGAAAAGCACGACATAACCACTAACCAGACTGTTTGCATGTGGACTGGAAAATGAGAAGAGAAGTTATAAGTCTGGTTTTAATTTACCAGAGTAATTCTGTCTAGTCTGGTTTGCAGAGCAGCGTCATGGTTCTCTACATTTTTTATTACTGTACTATAGTGGTCTGACAAAAAAAAAAAAAACACATTACAACATCATTGTGATATAGAAATCTATCTATCTATCTGTAGGCTGTCTGTCTGTCTATCTATCTATATTTGTTATCTATCTATCTATCTATCTATCTATATCTGTCGTCTGTCTTTCTGTCTATCTATCTTTCTATCTAGCTGTATATATGTCGTCTGTCTGTCTGTCTGTCTGTCTGTCAATATCTATCTATCTATCTATCTATCTATCTATCTGTCTGTCTGTCTGTC